CGAATCCACCAAAGCCTCTTCCATATCCACCGAAGCCCCCTCCGTATTCACCACGTCCACCAAGACCAATGCGGATTAGGCCCACTACAGTTCCACTGAATCCACCCCCGTAGCCACCGAATCCAGCACCGTATCCACCGTATCCACCGTATCCACCGTAACCATTAGCGATAACAAGAGCGACCAGCCAAAGAACGGCGAGCACAATTTTGCACATTGTCTGAAAATAAAAACAAACAAAACATCATAATCAAACTTTTACAATTCATCTATAATAATAATTCGCCTGTGTATCTTTTTTTGTTTTACCGAACCGCTCTCATTACGCACCGTGCTGCGCTCTCATTCGCTGCGCTTGATCGCTCTAAATGCACATAAAAGAACACCTTTGATGCCATGAGTGATTGCCCTTTAAAGGACCTGGCAGTAATTCTGGAATTGAAGCCCCAACCGTGGAATAGAAAGTATGTAACACGCACAATTGTGTTGCGTTGTACCAGCTGATAAAATATAATTTTAAAAATAAACACATAAAATATCACTACTTGATTGATCCACAAAGAATTTTGACAAAATAATCTAAACATAAAATTATATCAAGGGAATTCTTAAAATAATATTAAAAAAATATTATTAATGATAATGAAAATTATAAAGATAATGTTAATAATAATAATAATAATAATAATAATAATAATTATGTAACTGTTATACCTATTTGTAAGATTAATTTTTAGATTACGGTAGTTCTAGATTTGTTCATGATCATTTTACGCACGTCTCAACAATGCCAGCGGGTCACAATATTAAAATGGATAAATCTAACAGTATAATGTAACCAAAGGTAATTCTTTTCATTGAAATTTTAAAGATACATTTATTACAAGCGAATCTTAGATACAAATAATAAATTCTTCCCACACGTTCGAAGACGTGGAAAGAATCGCTTGGACAAGTGGGAAGAGTCGTTCGGACAAGGGGGAAGAATCGTTTGGACAAGTGGGAAGAATTGGCAAGGGATAGAGCGTCGTGGCTTCCCTCCGTACACAAAGGCTCCTTACAAAACTAAGCCAATAGATCAGAGGCTGCAGAGCACAAAAGACAAGGCAGAAAAGCCCGGGTCAGTTATGCACTTGGAGATGTTCACTTTACCCCTTGCTCCTACTGCACAATAACATTTCTTCCCAGAGTAGGTCACATAGCCGTCTGCGCACCCACAGAATGATTCGGCCTCATCAGCCGTCTGCGCACCCACATAATGATTCGGCCTCATCAGCCGTCTGCGCACCCACAGAATGATTCGGCCTCATCAGCCGTCTGCGCACCCACAGAATGATTCGGCCTCATCAGCCGTCTGCGCACCCACTGACAGTGGTCGACTCAGCACGAATCCGGTGAGTAAAATGGTCTTGGTCAATTTTGACAGACGAGCTAACGTGGCAGATACGTTGGCAAAGTTTAAAACTTACCGACATGTTCAGACCACGGCTTGAACCCGTCTCAGAAACAAGTGGCAGAAGTGCACGCTGGAGTCGATGTATGGACCAGACAGCCTGGGCACTTATATAGGCCTGGCTTGTGGCTTTGGACTTGTGGCAGAAACTCCCTGACCATCCTGTTGGGCACAAAATCCAGCCACTCCCTCCACTATTTACAGGACAGTTGGCATTTATAAGACTTCCTTTGTAATTTGAATATTTAAAAAAAAAATCATTTGGTATATTTAGCTTAACCAACCGTTTATTTTATAGTTACTATGCATCGTATTTTTTTCTTAAACCATATCTTTGTAGATTGTACATCCTGACGTAGACACGATAGTGTTATGTACACTATTTACTCCTGGAGTAGACACTATAGTGTTTTGTACACTATTTACTCCTGGAGCAGACACGATAGTGTTATGTACACTATTTACTCCTGGAGTAGACACTATAGTGTTTTGTACACTATTTACTCCTGGAGTAGACACTATAGTGTTTTGTACACTATTTACTCCTGGAGTAGACACTATAGTGTTTTGTACACTATTTACTCCTGGAGTAGACATTATAGTGTTTTGTACACTATTTACTCCTGGAGTAGACACGATAGTGTTATGTACACTATTTACTCCTGGAGTAGACACTATAGTGTTTTGTACACTATTTACTCCTGGAGTAGACACTATAGTGTTTTGTACACTATTTACTCCTGGAGTACACACTATAGTGTTTTGTACACTATTTACTCCTGGAGTAGACACTATAGTGTTTTGTACACTATTTACTCCTGGAGTAGACATTATAGTGTTTTGTACACTATTTACTCCTGGAGTAGACACGATAGTGTTATGTACACTATTTACTCCTGGAGTAGACACTATAGTGTTTTGTACAGTTCACAATCATATGACTGAATTCTGTCAATGTAACAAGATGGCTCATTGATAAATGTTTTAAAATGTAAACATGCGCGGTATTTCAGAAAACTATCCAACGTGTGGTGCATCTCTATGACACCTGGCATCTCTATGACACCTGGCATCTCTATGACACCTGGCATCTCTATGACACCTGGCATCTCTATGACACCTGGCATCTCAATGACACCTGGCATCTCTATGACACCTGGCATCTCTATGACACCTGACATCTCTATGACACATGGCATCTATATGACACCTGGCATCTCTATGACACCTGGCATCTCTATGACACCTGGCATCTCTATGACACCTGGCATCTCTATGACACCTGGGATCTCTATGACACCTGGCATCTCTATGGCGCCGTGGTTGCCAGTCTAGAATAAGGGCACCATAATGACAAGTCTAAAATGATTGCACCTTGGTGGCAAGTCTAAAATAGTTTTGAACCTGTTCACACGAGGCTTTCGAGGATTTTAACTGTAGCTCGAAATTTTTTTCGTATGGCAGCTTATTAATCCTTTTAAAAGAAACTTATAGTGATGTAAGGACTCAATGGGCACACACATCACCTGGCCTGTGATGCATTGTAGTTTCGGTCCTTCCAACCAGAGAAGCCATAGGACAAGTCTTGTTATATCCTAGGGGAATTTGTGATCTAAAAATGTAACAATCTTATCGTGGTTCTGTGTTCTGTTTTTATTTTACATGCGTTTTTTATCGTTACAAAATGTTCTGAAAACGTCAAACTTTTCACCTCATCTCAATTGTGAGTTGGCCTGAGTAATTTTAATCTTAATCCGTGGTCAGCAGAAAGTTGTCCCGGGGCCTTGTACGTTTCTTTTACTTTGTAATCATATTTTATACATTTATTATTTTTATTAAATCAGGAGGTCAGTGGCAATCATTTAATGGATCTGTTGCAATCATCATAGGTGATCGTGGCAATCATCAAAGGGGTCCTTGGCAATCATCATAGGGGTCCGTGGCAATCATTAAATGGGTCCATGGCAATCATGATAGGGGTCCGTTGTAATCGTTAAATGGCTTCGTATCAATCATCATTGGGGACCTTGGCAATCATGAAAGGTGTCCATGGCGATCATCGAAGGGGTCCGTAGAGTAACAAAAGTTACATACATTTTGTCATTGTGTCACAAAAAAATCGATGATTCTAGAGTTCCATGTAGGTAAACCATTACAATACCACTCTCAAAATTTCAAGGCGTCAACTTGTGGGTCACGACCACTTTAGGGGGTCGAACGACCCTTACACCACTGGTCGTTTAAGACCATTGAAAAACACAATTTTCTGAAATAGCCATGAAAATAATTTTAATTGTTGGGGGGTCACCACAACATGAAGAACTGTATTAAAGGGGCGTGGCATTAGAAGGGTTGAGAACAATGTTCCCTTTTAGGTGCGCAGCTGCGCGGTCGCGCAGCTTTCTCACACATGCGGTGCAGCAGTTTTGAGTATCCGCGCAAATTTCCATGTAAGTGTGTGTTGTTGTTTGTGGGCCTGTAACATTTTGCACACAAAAAATTGATGCTGTAAAACTTTGCACAAAACTGTAGGATCTTGCACACGAACCAACAACCCTCAGAGGGAACATTGGTTGAGAACCACTGCTTTTAATGCAAAAGAAAACTCTATTTCTATTTGATCCCACGGCAAGACTTGGTCCTGACGAGTGGAACTACATCGGGATGTAGCAGATAAACAGCAGAGATTCTTTGGTTTCATTGTGCTCTTTTCCATGTCGCAGAAATCATCTTCTTGCCAATATTTATATTTCTTACGGGACTCTTTCTCCGGGTTTGATTTCAAAGTTTGCCTTCTCTTAGATGAGTAGCCTTCTCTTAGATGAGTAGCCTTCTCTTAGATGAGTTGCCTTCTCTTAGATGAGTTGCCTTCTCTTAGATGAGTTGCCTTCTCTTAGATGAGTAGCCTTCTCTTAGATGAGTTGCCTTCTCTTAGATGAGTTGCCTTCTCTTAGATGAGTAGCCTTCTCTTAGATGAGTTGCCTTCTCTTAGATGAGTTGCCTTCTCTTAGATGAGTAGCCTTCTCTTAGATGAGTAGCCTTCTCTTAGATGAGTTGCCTTCTCTTAGATGAGTAGCCTTCTCTTAGATGAGTAGCCTTCTCTTAGATGAGTTGCCTTCTCTTAGATGAGTAGCCTTCTCTTAGATGAGTTGCCTTCTCTTAGATGAGTTGCCTTCTCTTAGATGAGTAGCCTTCTCTTAGATGAGTTGCCTTCTCTTAGATGAGTTGCCATCCAAGATTAATGAGAGTCCCGTCCAACCGGGGTGATGGAGATCTTTTTTTTTTTTTTAGGGATTGAGTTCTAGCTTGGGACTGACTCAGTTGACATCGCTACTAATGTAATACAAATACATTCTACGATTTTTTTTCCCCCACACATAAAATATTGGCCCCTTTAATATGCGAGGTCCACATGGCTGCTCTGGTTGATCCTAAAGCATAATTGCATGGGTCAAAGGTCATAAGTATGTTTATACAATGGTTAAATGATACATTCAAACATAACTCACACAAATACGTGCGTTATTTTTCAAGATTTTTATTGGGCGCGTCAAAAAAAAAAAAAAAACGCATAACAGACTGATGTCAGTGTTGTGCTTTACAACTTCCGGTACAAGGAAGAAAGAATTTCTCTTCTTAGTAGTAGTTGTTTCCCTTGCCTGTTGGAGAAGAAAAACAAAAGATGTATACTGACGGAGATAACAAATTGATTTAACTTGTTGCATTAAAGTTCAAGATGTTTTTAAGATGTACAACTTCATAAATAGTGTACACTTACAACGCTTTTAGACCAATGCTTCCTAAATATGTAGCTGAAGCATTTAAATAAAAAGGTGTGAAAATTATAAAATGAAGATCTCGGACACTCTATAATGAAATATGCAATAGCGCACGAATTGCAAAAAACGTAAACGGGATAATATCTCTGAACATACCGTAGCCGTAACCTCCAACTGGGATGACAACAGCTTTTCCGACGCCGCCTCCATAACCGTAACCACCACCATGGCCCCATCCGCCTCCAAGACCCCAACCTCCTCCGAGTCCACCGAAGCCTCCGCCGAGTCCACCGAAGCCTCCGAGTCCACCGTAGCCTCCTCCGTATCCACCACGTCCACCGAGACCGAGTCCAATCAGGCCGACGCCGCCGTATCCACCACCGTATCCGCCACCGTAGCCTCCACCGTATCCACCGTATCCACCGCCATAACCGTATCCACCTCCGTATCCGGTGGCGCTAGCGAGAGCGACCAGGCAAAGAACGGCGAGCACAGTTTTGTACATTTTCTGAAAGAGTCAAAGATGAATGTGTTATTGCCTTACTGATAGTCAGAAATTTATTTCAACAAATTCTTTCTGTATTTCATTTAGAAAAATAGATTTTTGTGTGTTTCATATTGAAAGGCAACTAAAGTTGGAAATTATATTATTCAGTCAGAACGGCGTAGAAATATTTCTTTTCCCTTTTTAATCTATTTCCAGAGGACAACGCTATCGGCATGCAGAGGCCCTTGTAATTATAAGCCACTCTCTTTGTTTGTTCTGTCCAAGTCAATTATGGACTAAGATACAAATTTCCAAAAAGGTGTATGAGAATGTTGATGAAATGAATAGCTAATTTTCACCAAATGCGCAGGATGGCTAATGTAGGTGCATGTACGCTTGTGTGTATGTGGAGAGAGATTTCGTACGTCTGTACCATAAAAAGGGGGATATGAAAGTGTTTAATCTTTAATATAATATTTAAAACAATTTAGAGCACATTTAGGATGGATTGTTAATGTTTATCAATTGTTTAGAGGACTGTGGAGGCTTACAGGTCAGCCTATTCACCTTGTTGTAGTTTATAATTGCGACTCATGGCATGCTACGTCTCGGATATGATGTAAAACAAATAGACAACTTCAAGTGTTTATTTTTAATGAGATTTTCTTAGGTCAAATATCCACATTTAATACACTTGCCTTTGAGAGCTAAATGAAACAAGGGGCCCTAACTCATAAAAGAGAAGATAATCAGCATATGGAAGAGGAAGCTCTTAGTAAAAAAAATGATTTTTCGTAAATATTCCCATCAATATTCTATTTGTAAAATGCTCAGTTTTTAATTCCTAATATACTTATTGATGGTGTGTCACTTTCTATACAGTCTTTATTAAAAAAAAAATAAAAAGCGACCTAGAACACATGAAAAATGAATGTGACCACTTACCGATTTGTAAAGACTACGGCTAGACGTGTTGTTGGGCAGTAGACTGGAGTTGTGTGAATGGACTGGGTCTGTCTTAGACCTATATATACGGCCCAGACATAACACGGACTAGGAAGTTAAAGATAATCATATGGGTAGGGGTGATGATTGACATGACTCTAATCCCACTACAGAGCTGGTGTGTAGGAACGAACATTTCGAATGATCGAAGTTGTCGAACTTAATAAGGAAAATATTTCCGGAAATGACAACCCTTCTCTCCACTTGTATATTTTTTTCAGTTGATCCCCGTCTCACAATTAATAGTCCTGGTGTCCATCAAAGATTTAACGTACATGACATGTGGTTGACGGCATGGGTACTTTAAGGAGACAACAAATTTGTTTAAACATGAGGAAAGAAATGCAAGGTTTGAATTTAGAAAGTCGAGCTGCTTAAAACTGATTTCTGATTGTATTAATTTACACGCGACTCAAAGAAAAACAGTCTATGATGCATTGATGCAAATATGAAACATGGTAACGGCCTGAAATGGGAATACTATGGAATGGGATCTCCGTGGAATGGGATCTCCGTGGATGAAATGAAACATGTTTTGCTTGCATGTTCTGCTTTCTGTAAATTGTACAATTGTCATATCTTTTGTGTTCCGTGCAATTGAATTTCAGATATTGTTTATCGAAATTTTTTTTTTCCTCTTTGAAAAAGCAATCACGGAGAAATTGTTACAAAAATCAGAAATACTTACTAAATATATATATTTATGTATATATTTAAAAAAATGATAACATGTATATTCTTTACTTCAAAAGTTTGTCGTTTTCCAAAGTTTGCTGACGAGTTTTATGCCACGATGAAACTCGTTTTCACATCAATGCATTTGACGAGATGATGACAAGACAATCTTTTGATCTTTGTGACATTAATAACCTATCTTTTACTGCTTAGACTGCTAAGACTACTTAACACATTGAAGCATTAATTCCTTCAGATCTGCTCTGCAGTGAGATTACTGACATGTCAATCTCTGTCTCTTCCCCACCCACCCCCCTGTCCCCACCCAACCCCCCGTGTCCCTACCCACCCCCGTGTGTGTTTCTAACGTCGATGTCCTTTCACAGCCGGGCCTGTATATAAGTGTTCGCGGACCTCCCCATTCACACAACTCCAGTCCACTGTCCCACCACTTGTCACGGAATTCAAACCGTCTTAAACATTTTGGTAAGTGAAAACATTAAATTTCTAATGCTTCACTTGGGGCATTCACATACTGATCATGACATAAAAACCATACATATTAATTCTTAATAATTGGGAATCAACAATTATGCATGGTTCTATCTGATCGTTGATATCAAATATACAGAAACATTTTGTTGATATAATATTTTTTTAAAGTGTCTTTACTAAGTGGACTATCTTATTTCTTTTTATAATAGTTTAAATCACTTTAAGTTCTCAAAGAAAAATTGTACAGACAATGGCTATTGAATAAAAAAAAAACTCATTACAAATAGACATTATTCAACCTTTATAAACATTCAAACATTTTACTTCCCTTCTCAGACCATGTACAAAACTGTGCTCGCCGTTCTTTGCTTGGTCGCTCTCGCTAGCGCCACCGGATACGGAGGTGGATACGGATACGGCGGTGGATATGGTGGATACGGCGGAGGCTACGGCGGTGGATACGGCGGTGGATACGGTGGGGGATTCGGTGGTGTCGGCCTGATTGGACTCGGTCTCGGTGGACTCGGAGGAGGCTACGGTGGACTCAGAGGCTTCGGTGGACTCGGCGGAGGCTTCGGTGGACTCGGAGGAGGCTGGGGCCATGGCGGCGGTTACGGTTATGGAGGAGGCCTCGGCAAAGCTGTTGTCATCCCAGTTGGAGGTTACGGTAAGTGGCCAGAGTTTCACCTCTGTTACAATAGTTTATTTAAACAAAATACGTTAATTATTAAAGAAAATTATTTTGTTATTACGAGTAGTTGCAATTTTATGTCAATGTTATTTTATCTTCTTATTGGTTTGCAAATCTTTATTATGTGCTTAAATTGTCTGGCCATTTCATTGGTTTATTTCTTTGAAATGTCTGTGGTCAAAGGGGTGAAATACAAGTCTTGGATTTGGTAAAAAACGAAAGTGGATAATTTTAAATGATTGCTTGGAATCAAATATGGGGTTGAAATGTAAACTTATGTTTTGACATTTTTCAATGACAATTCCTTTAATGGCACAAGGGCATAAATCAAAAATGAAAAATACTTCAGAAGATGAAAGTTTTAGAAAGAAAATGTCGTGTTGGCAATATGCATTGCCTACTATAAAATATGCATTGCCTACTATAAAATATGCATTGCCTACTATAAATATGCATTGCCTACTATAAAGCACTTTGCTTAAAATTTAATGTTTACTTTCCTTTAATTTCGATTTTTTTCCGCCCTAACAGGCAAGGGCAACAACTACTATTAAGAAGCCAGATGCACCAGGAATGTTGGAAAATCTTAATTACTCGATGAGATTAATAAAGTTTGATTAAATAAAAAAACAAAATTGTCTTATGTTTAATCTTGTTTTGATTGTCTGAGTTCACCGATTACATACAATCACAGAGCCTAAAGATTTTGATAGTATTGTGAACTCGGTTATATAACGTCTGGGGACAGATGAAAGACGGTAAGATAAATACCTTTATTAAAAGATATCATAAAATTTACGTTTTTTTAGTACAACAGGACGAAATACAAGTTATCCACAAAACTTCAATTAAAATAAATTTTTTAAAGTATGGGAATCTATACTTCTTAACTAAAATTTTAATTTTGCAATTCCCAAATACTTTTAGATCTTATTTACATTTTCACAATTAAAATCTTTAGGGGCAAAGTTTAGAGCTTTCTGGATAATTCTAGAAAAATATCCCGCTCCAGGAGTGGATCTAGTTTGTTTACAATCCCACGTTAATTTGGTATGGTATATACACGCTATGCCTTCCGAGTTTTGCCTACATCAATCAGTTCACGTAGAACCCTTATATTGCTATCGAAGCCTTTTGGTATTTAAATAGCTTACATATTGGAAAAATGAAACTAGGGACCCCGGCCCCGAAAGTTTTCAAATATTAAAACCTTCCAGTATTTCCTTATAGTAATTAAAGTGCATGCGTACACAAGTTTGTTCTAGATTGATCCATTTATTGTAATTGTATTTATATCGTTCATATGAGAAGAAAAAACGAAATCTAGGCCCACGGGTTTGGACGGGATAAGTTTTTAAAATTAAAACCCAGTCAGTATGTCCTTCCGAACTGATGCAGCGTTATAACTATGTATGCCAAGTCTGGTCATGGTCCATCAGTCCGTTTAGAAACGCATGCTGTAAGAACAGGCGTAGCCTGAAGACACATTTAGTTAAGACATTTAATTAATTTAATTTTTAAAAAATCAAGATTCCGTGTCCTTATCTGATGTCAGTGACACTACCGTGTCATTGTGTTCTGTCAGTAACACTACCGTGTCCTTGTGTTATGTTAGTGACACTACCGTATCATTGTCTGATGTCAGTAACATTACAATTTCATTGTCTGATGTCAGTAACACTACCGTGTCATGGTCTGATGTCAGTAATAAAATTTAGGAAGAAACTTATTTTGTGTGGCATTCAAGTACCTTGTAACAAACGTGCACCAGGTAAATAATGTGACATAAAACAAGGGAAATACAATATGGAATGACATTGTCCAGTGTGCAACTCATTATGAGACATTGCTATACTGGACCCACCCATTTGGTGGAGTATTTGACTAAGTGCTGAATGGGGACTCACTCCCAAACTTACCATCCCCCCACCCCAATTTTTTAGATAAAGCTAGTAATAAAAAAATAAATGAAAGAACCCCCAGGACGGTACGGTAAGACTCTAGTGAGGCCAACGAACTCTTTATACACGAACTTTAAACTACATTATGTGATAAATCTACTCTAATTCCCCAAACACCTTATACAAAAAATGAGTTTCTTAAAACGATACAACACTGGTTACCATATATTAAAATAATGTGGTTGCCTTAAGAAGCGAATATCTTTTGTTAAAAAAAAAAATTATGGCCCGAAACGGAATGCTTTAAAATGGTTGTACTAATTCAGAAACATATCAATTAACAAAAGTTTTATCGCAATCGGATGAATGGTATAGGAGCGCATACGAAAATTATATTTAAATAGCTCATATCAGAAAAAACCACACAAATTTAGGGCCCCCGGTCGGTCCAAAACTGAATATTTCAAAATGTTTGTACGCATTCATAACCTACTAAATTATGTCACACACAGACGGAAATATCGCTGTTTGTGTTGGATTAAATGCCATCCACTCATGCATTAGCTCTGTTCAAAATTATAATTTTGTAGCTCATTTAATAAAAAAAATTTTTTCGGCCTCCGAGCCCAAACGGAATATTGTCAAATGGTTGTAATGATTGAGAAACCTTTGCGGGCGTGCACACAGCAACTCAGCACATTTTTTATGCAATCGGATAAATGGTAAAGGAGCGCATACGGAAATTATATTTGCATACGGAAATTATATTTACATAGCTCAATTAAGAATTTAAAATCAATTTGGGGGCCAACGTCTCGAACGGATTATCTTTAAAGAATTGTAATGACTTAGACAAGTGCGCAACTTCTCACCAAAGTTTTATCGCTTGAATGGCATAGGAGCAAATTTGGTATGAAATTATATTTATATAGCTCATATTAGAAAAAAAGGAACATGGGCCCTTGGCTCCCATTGATTGATTTATTGATTGATTTGATATTTATATCGCGCTGGTATCTATGCTCACTACGCTCTGGTCCTCAGAAATCTATTTAAATAAAAAAAGTTTTTAATTGATTTTTTATCATTTACAATTTCCCTCAAAGATTGAGGCAAACTTTTACATAATTTTGGCGCTATTGCTTCAAAAGAGCGCACTCCGTAAGACATTTTTCTGTGTTCATCTACACTAGGAACACTCAGTAGGTACTGTGATGAAGACCGCAGGCTCTTCAAGGGTACATGTTTATAAATCAGTTCCTTGAGATATTCCGGTGCTGAGCCATATCTGCAGCTGTACGCCACATACAGAATATTGTAGTTAATGCTGATGCGCCTTGGGGCTGCCTTGGGGCTGCTTGGGGGCTGCTAGATCTGGGCGCTGCTGGGCCTGGGTGCTGCTCGGGATGTTTTTGTGTGTGCTCGTCTGGGCTTGCGCTGGGAATTGACTCCACAATTGAGACCTCACTGACATTCCTCCACCCGACATACATACAAACCAACAAGGTCACTCTGCTTTACATAGTAGATACGAAGCCTGAAATACATATTTCATTTTGATAGAAAAGAAGATATGACCGGCATGGGTTTGGGTTTAGAAGATCGGACACAAATCTTTGACAATGGCAAGACCAAAATTAATTCTTCATCTGATATTAAAAAAAAAAAAATTAAAAATTAAAAAGTAAAAAAAAGAAGGGGGCTATGCATGTTTGAGTTCAGCACAGAGAGAACCATTTGGATTCTTTTAAACTATTACCACTTCACATAGTTGACTGTTGTTGTTGTTGTTGTTGTTCGTCCGTCGAGGATCGACGATGACCATCGAGTCGTCTGGTGACTGATGACTTTCGCTAGTGACTTTTGTTTAAAGTGAGGAAGAGTTGCGCGGCGTCAACCTCACTCTCTCGTCCGGGCCCACCCTATCCAGTGGCAAGACTCTACGTCAAGACGACCAGGGATGGGTTCGGTTGCAGGAATCGTCATTGTTTGCGCCTTACGGGACTCCAACTCCGGGTTTGAATTCTTAGTTTCCTTCTCTTAGATGAGTTGCCGACCAAGGTTAACGAGTCTCATCCACCCGGGGTGAGGTTTTTGCTTGACCGGCCTTTGGCTGGAATTGAGGTTTGCTCAGTTTAGACCATTCGGCCACCCAGTATGCAGTGTATGACCATGGCGTTCTACGTGTCTGGCCATGGTCTCAGCGATTCACACCACTGTGCTGTCTCCGCCTTTTGTCCGTTGACCAAGTAGTGGTTCTTCCACACAATTTGCCGGATTCAGTCTTTACATGCTATTTGACTACTGATAACAAACAGACCTGAGGATAGAGCTGAAAAATTTCATAAAATTGTCCAATAAACACAGAGCTCTTGGAGTAGAGTATGTTAGAGAGCCGTGGGCGTCATTTTTCATTCACTAAGGTAAAGACAATGTTTACTGGTTAGTAACTTTCCTAGATTATCACCGATTATTAAACGATACTTATAAATAAACTACTGCTAGTATGCGACTTGTTAGGCTTATATCAAATTTCTTTTGGCTAGGCCTTAATACTAGTGTAGCTCTACTTTACAAGGCTCCCTTATCAAAAAAAAAATTGTCTTATTATGTGAAGGTCTATGATTAACATAAATTGCTATAAAAACCAAATACTAGCACAAGGAATGGGAAACAAATAAAATTTAAAAAAATATATATTTTAAACTATACATCAGAAGTTAAAAAGATACAAAAAAGCTTTACTGGCTAGCGACACAAACACAATGGTAAAAGTAACGTCATCGGAAGTTGTCCCGGCCTATGGGCTAATAATAGTTTGGTGAAAAGTTGGCGAAATTACGCAATAAAATATATATTAACTGCAGCTGTTAATAAAAATACAGTAAACAGAGTATTAAAAAAAATCAACTTAGTAGTTAAAGATTAGAAGTACCTGTTTATTTATTTGTTTTTTTAATTTTTTTTTTTAAAGTTAAGAAACACATAGATTAAACCAACCATGTTTTTTGGGGTTGGGGGCGGGATTGTTCATTTTATTCCATAGGACGTAACCAATGTGTAAAAGGGACACAACTTCATATTTTTTACATAGTTTGTTTTTAAAGTATCATAATCTTAAAAAAAATATATTTCATGTTTTAAAATTTGTGATTTATCTCCAATTAAAAAATACAGTACTGCAAAAATAGTCATTTTAAGAAAGAATTTACTTTCAATTGTTATATTTTGAGAATTTAATGAGAACTTGTAAACTGTTTTAAGATATAATTTTGTGTTTGTTTATATATTTAACTCAACATCCATTGGATGATTATTGGTATGGGTTTATGCATGCTGGATCCAAATCTAGCCATCGCTCTTTTAAGAAGTCATTTTGACTTTTATTGGCAAACGTTTGCTGAACTAGCTCTAAAAAATTTATCCGATTGCCTGTTGGCAAGAGTTAGATCATAGGTTTTTCTCAAATCACACCGACTACTGTACCTGGTGGTGGAACGCGAATCTCGCTTGTTTTCTAGTTTGGGTCTTGACGATCGTTAAGAGCAACAAGCGACAAGGCAAAAATGCTCGCAAGGGCAGACTTTGAAGAGGAAGTACTCAAAGACTTCTGGGGGAACCCGTACAAAATATTGAACACAATTCCCTCTATTCACGTTCATTGTAGCGTTTAGGTTTGG